AAGCCAAGGCCCCAAGTGAGACGCAGACAAGAGCGGCACCATTAAGGCATACACTACTGGGAGCTTCTTGGTGCCTGCGTGAAGACGCCCTCTTGCCTCCGGGAACAGTATCGTCTGCATCTTCTGACTCCAGGAGCGGGGCTGGGGAGCGCAGGGCGGAGGAGGCAGCACTGGGATGACTCAACAGTGCGGCATTTGGGGGCGCCACGGAGGCCGGTACTGCGTAAGCGGCGATAGGGTAGGACCCACAGTCTCCTTGCAAGCGTTCTTGGAGCTCGGTTTGGCGGTCGGTCCGGATCTCCCGGGGAGTCCTCCCGGAGTGAGGCAGGCCTTAGGAAGAAGCTGCCTGATGTGCAGGGTTGCATAGGCAGTCAGAGAGTGCATCCTGGAGGAGCCCTGGCATCAGGAAGGTGAGCCCCCCATGGCAACCCGCAGGAATGAGCCAGTGCTCAGGTGTATGAAACACTCCTTGCATCAAAGCTGGCACGTGTGAAGAGGCGGGAAGGGACTCTTCCACAACCGAGACACCATTACCTCAGAGAAAAATTAAACAGATTATCACCAAAAACGGGGTGGGGGTAAGACATACCTACCAGTGGTCAAGTGCCAAGGAATCCCTGCTCTTCGAGAGCTGGTTATCCTCAGGAAGAGATTACTACACGCCCTCAGGACAGAAGCTGACCCCACTCCCTGAGGTGGACTTGCAGGCAAGAGCAACACTTTTAAGGCAGGTCACACTGGTGGTTTCTCCCTACCCTGGTAAGACGCCCCTACCTCTTCTCCCATCTCCTCTCCCTTCCCCACAGCAAAGCATAGTCTGCATTTTCTAGTCCCCTCAAGTCAAGGCAGGCCAGGGGCTCCAAGGGCAGGCCCACCTCTTTCTTCCAAGATTTTTTTTTTTTTTTTTGTGACGGAGTCTCACTCTGTCGTCCAGGCTGGAGTGCAGTGGCGCGATCTTGGCTCACTGCAATCTCTGCCTCCCGGGTTCAAGCGATTCTCCTGCCTCAGCCTACCGAATAGCTGAGACTACAGGCATGCGCCACCATGGCGGGCCAATTTTTTTTTTTGTATTTTTATTTTAATTTTTTTTGTTTTTGTTTTTTTGAAATGGAATCTTGCTGTGTCGCCCAGGCTGGAGTGCAGTGGCACAATCTCAGCTCACTGCAAGCTTCGCCTCCCAGGTTTACGCCATTCTCCAGCCTCAGCCTCCCAAGTAGCTGGGACTACAGGCACCCGCCACCACACCTGGCTAATTTTTTTTTGTATTTTTAGTAGAGACAGGGTTTCACCATGTCAGCCAGGATGGTCTCAATCTCCTGACCCGTGATCTGTCTGCCTCGGCCTCCCAAAGTGCTGGGATTACAGGCATGAGCCACCGTGCCCGGCTTTTTTTGTATTTTTAGTAGAGACACGGTTTCACCATGTTGGCCAGGCTGGTCTCCAACTGCTGACCTCAAGTGACCCGCCCACCTCGGCCTCCCAAACTGCTGGGATTACAGGCATGAGCCACACCACCCAGCCTTTTTCCCAAGACTTTACACAGAGTGGCTGTTTTCACGATTCAAGCACATGTGGGCATCCACTAATCCAGCCACCCTCAGGGACCACTTTGGTCAATCTCCTTAGGATAGGATAGATGAACACTGCTTCACAAAAGGAGAGTTTCTGTTTCCAGACAGAAAGGGAACAGGCAGCAATGGGAGGTCTTGTGGCTTAGCCAAGGCTGGGGTGCTAACTACACACACCAGCAGCCCAGTATTTCACTTCATATGGAGTGGGAACTTACAGCTCTGAAGGCAACCAGGGAGGCCTGGACTTCTGCAGAGGCAGAGGCCAAGGCAGTGATGACCTGCCCCTCCCAACTAAAATGAATTCTAAAATAAATGTAATTGCTGCTAAAGAAATGTTTCTGATTCGAATAGATGAAAATTCTATTACCAATTTAAGACTGTTCAAATTCCCTGCAGCTTATCATTAATCCACCCTAGTTAGGCCAAAAGTCTCTCAATTTCTGAGTAGTAGTACGATAGAAACAAGTCAGATTTTCTAAAATCATATGAATCACTTAAATTCTTTTTTTTTCTTTTTTTGAGACGGAGTCTCACTCTGTTGCCCAGACTGGACAGTGGCGCAATCTCAGTTCATTGCAACCTCCACCTCCCTGGTTCAAGCGATTCTCCTGCCTCAGCCTCCCAAGTAGCTGGGATTACGGGTGCTGTACCACAACGTCTGTTTTTTTTTCTTTTGAGATGGAGTCTTGCTCTGTTGCCCAGGCTGGAGTGCAGTGGCACAATCTTGGCTCACTACAACCTCTGCCTCCCGGGTTCAAGCAATTCCTCCCAAGTAGCTGGGACTACAGGTGCCCACCACAATGCCCGGCTAATTTTTGCATTTTTAGTAGAGACAGGGTTTCACTATGTTGGCCAGGCTGGTCTCAAACTCATGACCTCAGGTGTTCCACCCACCTCAGCCTCACAAAGTGCTGGGCTTACAGGCATAAGCCACCGCATCCAGCCCAAATCTCCTAAATTCTTAAATATAATAAATACCAACCAACAGAACCACAATTTTACCAAGGATCTCATGGTTTTCACATACCTTTTTTGGAATAAAATTGAGACTATTTCCCTCTAGCCTTTTTTTCCCCCCCGAGACAGAGTCTTGCTCTGTCGCCCAGGCAGGAGTGCAGTGGCTCAATCTCGGCTCACTGCCACCTCCGCACCTCCTGGGTTCAAGCAATTCTCCTGCCTCAGCCTCCCAAGTAGCTGGGATTACAGGTGCGTGCCACCACGCCCGGCTAATTTTTTTTTTTTTTTGAGACGGAGTCTCGCTCTGTCGCCCAGGCTGGAGTGCAGTGGCCAGATCTCAGCTCACTGCAAGCTCCGCCTCCCGGGTCTACGCCATTCTCCTGCCTCAGCCTCCCCAGTAGCTGGGACTACAGGCGCCCGCCACCTCGCCCGGCTAGTTTTTTGTATTTTTTTTAGTAGAGACGGGGTTTCACCGTGTTAGCCAGGCTAGTCTCGATCTCCTGACCTCGTGATCCGCCCGTCTCGGCCTCCCAAAGTGCTGGGATTACAGGCTTGAGCCACCGCGCCCGGCCACGCCCGGCTAATTTTTATATTTTTAGTAGAGATGAGGTTTTACCGTGTTGGCCAGGTTGGTCTCAAACTCCTGACCTTGTGATCCGCCCACCTCAGCCTCCCAAAGTGCTGGATTACAGGCATGAGTCACCGCACCCGGCCCCTCTAGCCTTTTAAAAACTAGAATTTGATCACCATAAAATCTGTACTTTGCTTAACCTATTTTCCTGAACTCCATTCTTACACCTATTACCTGAGTTAGGCCTATCACTAAGCAAAGGTACTGATAGCTCATTGCCAGAAAACAGAAAGCAAGCAGGTTGCAGGGCTGCTCCACCTGCTGTCAGCTGTGGGAATTTCACAACCACATCAGAAACCAGAATTTCTGTCTTTTAAAAGCCTGGTCCTTTGATGCCATGGCAGTACACACTACCAAATCCAGGCCTTCTATTTATCTGTGTTCTTTTTTCTTTTTCTTTTTGAGACAGAGTCTCGCTCTGTCACCCAGGCTGGAGTGCAGTGGCCCAATCTCGGCTCACTGCAAGCTCCGCCTCCCAGGTTCACGCTTCTCCTGCCTTAGCCTCCCGAGTAGCTGGGACTACAGGCGCCTGCC